AGGAGAAGTAATGGTAGACGAAAATAATAAAATTAAAATAAGAGGAATAAATGAAAAATTAATAGAAACTATTGGAACAGTTAATATAACAATTGAAATTAATAATGAAAAAATAAATGTAAAATTTAATCTTGTCAAAAATGATTTTCCAATTTTAAAAGACGGTATATTAGGACAACCTTTCTTAACCAATAATAAAGCTGTAATCGATATAAGTAATAATACAATTATAATTAATAACGAAAATAAATGTAATATGTTAAAAAATGATGAAGAATATTTTTCATTAAATCCGAGAACCGAGACTATTGTAGAATTACCGATAGCTGAACCCAAGGTCGAAGATAAAAATATAATTATACAAAAACAAGAAATAATTAAAGACGTGTATTGTAGTAATGTGATAGGAAAAGTAAAAAACGGTAAAATAATAGTTAGCATATTAAATATATCGGAATGTACGCAAAAGATTAAATTAAATGATATAAATAAAATATTATATGACGAATCTTCAGATTACAATCTATTCAAAATTAATACGATAAAAACAAATGACTCACCTAACCGAATAGAACAGATAAAGAATTTAATTAGAAGCGAACATATGAATATTGAAGAAAGACAATCTATATTTGAATTATGTGAACAATATTCTGAAATATTTCATTTAGAGGGAGATAAATTAACTTCCACTAATGCCGCTAAACACGAAATAAAATTAAAAGATAACCAACCGCCTATATATAAACGACCATATAGATTACCTCATTCGCAACAAGAGGAAATAGCTTCACAAATTCGTAAAATGGAAGATGATGAATGTACTAAAAAAGTAAATAGGGCGCTAATTGAACAACAGAAGAATAGTGGAAATGTTTTACATTTAATGAAGAAACAAACAACTTTAGTAAAAACAGCAATGCAACGTATAGGAGCAAGTATAGAAGAAACGCAACAATTACATGAGGAATTAAGAGGAAAACAACAAGAACTCGTAAAAATAATGAACAGTTTGACAAATGCGACAAATGATGTATTGGATTTATTATTATTCAATAGTGTGCAAAATCTACATTTGGCACTTATAAATCAATATGCGTACGAAACATTAATGTTAAATAAAATAATTACCGCCGCAAGAACAGTTGTAATACATACAAGTTTATTAACACCAAAGGACTTATCAGAAACATTAAATGATATAGCACATCGTTTGAGAACTAAAATGCACTTACCTATGGGGACAATTCCAAATGAACTATATGAACTAAGAAAAATAATTAAGATTACCACTATATACACTCAAGACAAATTATTGTTCGTAATTAAAATACCACTAGTTACAGAAATAGAATTAACTATGTACAATGCGATACCAGTACCAATGATGGGAAATGTAACTTATATATTAAAACCGGAACAACCTTTTATTGCTATAACTAAGGACAGAAGACAGTTTACAACATTCACGTCAGAACAAATCAGAACATGTACAGAAACAAATATCTTTAGAATATGTAATATATATCAACCAATAAGGGATAATAAAGCAACTAAACAGTGTGAAGTTGAATTATTTCACTAGCCAGAAAAAGTACCTGATGAATGTGAACCACATGCAATTAATTTAAATAGAAACATTTATCATAAATTACGTTTCAGAAATGAATGGTTATTCGCAACAACAAATGATACATTAACAATAAATTGTGCAAATCTAGAAGAAGCAACAATTATCAGGATAAAAGATACAGGAATAATAAAAATAAATGACACAACATGTGAGGTATCAGCTGAGAATGTAATATTAACAGCTACACAAGAAATAACAAATAAAAAATACATAAACTTCGTACCAGTTACAAATATGAGCATGTTAACAACTAAATTCCCTAAAAAATTACATTTTGCAAAATTAAAAAGTATTAATAATACAATAGGAATGAAATTAAATCATTTAGGTGAATTATCACATTCGGTGGACAACTTAGAGGAATTAATAAGTAAGGAGGAGGAAAGACAAAGAAATGAACAGCATAAAGAAATACATTCAAATTTAATATATGTAACTTTAATATTGGGAGTATTATCAATGGTTTTAATAATAATTGTATATGTAACGATAAAGTATAAAATAAAATGTTATAAAAGTAAACAAAATATAGAGGAACCTAAAATATATAAGTTATCAAAAAGAAATTTAGAGGATTACGAGTTAGGAAATATAGAGGAAAGAAATGAATTAGAGGTAGAAGAAGAGGGAGTTTATCCACACATAAGTAATAATCACTTGATACGATGATAGTAAAATTAATTGATTTTGATTTGAAGATAACCAAATTGTACACCATTACTTGGGAAACGAATAATTATGAAATAGTTGGATGTCCTGGGTAAAAACAATTTGATTTCTACAATTACAACGATAAAATATTAAATAGTTAATCGCAATAATATTCTGTAGCTGAAATAATAATTCAATAAAAATTAAATGAAAATTAAATTTAAATCATAAAATATTTCAGTGGTAATATGATAATAATAATAATATAAATTATATTTGGTAAATGGGTAATACTAACATTAGTAATTTAAGTAAATTATATTGTAAAAGTTTTGAATGTTTGATAATAAATTGTAAAATGTAATTAACTAACCAAAAATGATAATTAAATTGTATTCAGTTTAGAATTAAGGAAATTATGTAAAAGAAAACTATTCAAAGTGTTAAAAAAAAAAAAAAAAAAAAAATGTTCAATGTAAAAAACATATGTATATGTAAAATATTATGCTAATCAAAGATTGTGAAACTTAAGTTTGAATATTGTAAAAGATTTCTGTCTTGCAGACCGAAACCTTTTTTTTTAGTGGGGAGGTGTTATGGGCTACCACAAAAACATGTATAAATAGAATTGTGCGTAACACAATATCACAGGTGTTACACACCCATATTTGATCATAGACTATATATTAATTTAAAATATTATAAGATTAATATATATTCTTAGAAACACCTACATTTAATAGGTTGGCCATAAACCAATAATAACAATATATATTTTAAAAGATTAATATATATTCCTGTTATATATATAATATATATATCCTGTTTTGTTAAACACTTTGAGTATTAAAATAAATGTATTAATGTATTAAAAGTCTCATGTATATTTAAATTAAACACATCTTCGACTCGCAACACTTGAAATCGAGCCGGTGGCACGTAACACATGAAATTGCTATGAATAATTCAAGACATTTTTCCATTAAATATGATCCATTTACACAAAGTGATCGATTATTTTTAAAAATTTATAGACTTACTAAAGAATTAGTACGTAAATTAATAGTCATAGTTACACCATACGTAGAACCAACAAGAAGGTCTTCATCTATCAAAATATCAACAAAGGTATAATTCATAATTATTTACTTTTTAGATTAATTATTTTCAAAACTAACAGTAGGTACGTGATAAGTCACAAACTAAAACTAAAACTGTCTCAGGTATTTTAAGCATTGAATTTTTTTGCAACTGGATGCTATCAGACACCAATTGGTAATGATAGATATGTTGCTGTGTCTCAGTCAACTGTTTCTCGAGCTATTAATTGTGCGGTTGATATTCTAAATCAACCGGAAATTCTTAACAAATGGATTAAATTTCCAAATAATATGCAGGAAATTATTCAGATCAGAAATGGATAAAAAAATATACAGATTAGTTAATTTTTTATAACTTATATTTTCATTTACCTTCATTTTCATTCATAGCTCTTAATTCCTCTTAATACACAGACATTTTTTGTTTTTCGATTATAGATTTCATTAAAAACTTCATTTCCTGGGGTAGTGGGCTGTATTGATTGCACACATGTGGCAATAATACCTCCTAATAACTAAAACTCAGATTTACCAGAATATGTATACGTAACCTATATTATACACAATTCTTATAAGATTTGCAAATCACAAATTATAACAATATAAATGTGAAGTTGTTTAAATTGTAAGAATATTAGTTTTTTTGATAATCCATATTTTTTGATACAAATGACTTTTTTACGCTAAGATAATTTACAGGCGCAAAATCTAGTGAACATTTCTAAAAAGCTGACAACTTTCTCTATAATTACTAATTGTTCTAAAAACAAAAAATTTGCATAATTTTAAGTGGCACTCTTTAGAAATTGAAAAAACCGTTAAAAATCAATGTTCTTTTTCTTTTATATTAAATTAAAAAATTATAATTAAAAAAAAAAAAAACTTTGAACTTTTATATTAGTCAGGGGTACTAACATTTTATATTAAAAATATTGAAAATAAAAAAAAAAATACGAATACTACATCAAAATATTTTTTAAATATACGCTATAATTCGATGAGATATGTATGAAAGTAATAAAAATATTTACTAAAAAACTATACTGTACACTTAAATTTGCACTTGGACGGTTGTAACTCTGTATTAATATTCCTTTTAATGTGCAGATAATTATTTCATTATAAAAATACATTAAAATATAAGTCTAAAATATTGAGTTTTGGTCGCGTAAAATGACGCTTCGGATCACTGTGCGCTGTATTCGATACAATGTTACAATTTGTATAGTACACAAACCGATTAGCCACATGGTGGGGATTTGCTTACGCCACAGATTATATGAAAACAGATAGTGCACTTAGATGTAAACGAAAAATAGTTTGATAATGTCGTTTCCAGAATTAATGTGACCATTTCAACGGACTAAAAATATTTGAAACTCATATACTGATGGCTCACCTGATAGTGATACCCAAACAATATTTGTAAACAAACATTTTGTTATAAGCTATGACTTTTGATTTTCACGTGTTTGGCTCTTGGTGTTTCGTTTGTTTTTAAATTTCTGATTAAGGTAGTCTTATATTTCGTAAAAAAGTATTTTTGTTATAGTATTTATAATAACAGATTTGTTTCATAAAATTATACAAAATTTGATATTTTAAAAATAACTATCTGTGCAGTCAAATTTTCCAACAATAAAATGTCACAAACGAAAAACATATACTTCAACTATTTCAGAATTCCAAGCGACCAATTGAGGTGAGTGATTAAATTTGTTTTATAATTTTCATGTGTATACATTACAATTTAATACATTATTAATTTATAATAGGTATAAACAATGGATGGAAAAATGTCATACTGTACATTTACTAAAAAAAGATCTTGCTATTTTATACAAAAATTACAGAGTGTGTGGTGTTCATTTTGAAAACAATATGTTTTTAAATCCAAGTAGTAGGAACCGTCTTACAATGAATGATGTGCCAACAATATTTAGTGGTAAGATTTTGTTTAATAAAAATATTTTTAGAACTAAATGAAAACTATTCTAATTTTGCTTTTATTGTAGCTACACGGCTGAGAGATGCATATGGATAGTTCATCTACCAAAATTCTTCTCAACAAATTATCTATTGATAATTACCCACCCAGAGCCCAGAGCTCTAGGGTTATCCAGTGAATTACAGATTTTTACTTAAGTTTATTTACATTAATTTAATTATTATATATTATTTTTTTTTTGTAAAGTAAGTTTTTTAAACTGTGCAATTGTAAAATTTTAATTTGTTTATTATAATTTAATACAATAATGAATTTTAATTTAATTTAATTAAATAAAATGTATTTTACCATTAACAAATGTTATGATTTTTTTCAATATATCTGATAATCCAATGCAAATTAATGAACTACTTTAATATAAAAATAAAATTAAAATTTATAACGGAAATATTATCTGAGAAAGAAAAAGAAAAGAAACTGGAAGAAGAAAAGGAAATGCGAGAATTTGAGACTCATGTTGCAATGGCTTCATGTTCCAGTCACTCACATTCATTATTTTACAGTGATAATGCATGTATAAATGTCAGTGATGTGTCTAGTTGTTCTTCCATTTCTATTAACCAGCAAGTATCTACTAGTGATTCATCCTGCCAAACTCCACTTCATCTCACTAGCAAAACATCAAGAAAAATGAAACTACAAAACAAACTTCAGTCCAAAAATGAAGAAATTAAAGATTTGAAAAAACAAATTAATGCCATAACTCAACAATTAGTACAAGTAAATACTGTTGAACAAATGTTAACTTTAGTTAAGAAATATTTATATATCAACATAATTTTTAGTTCAATAATGCATTAATTGAAAAAAAAACATTTGGTTTTATTTTATAATCAAGATAGTAAAAATAATCTTTGCAATGCTCCTAAAATAACATATTCTCATATAGTTCCTGGACCTTTTGAAAAAATGTGTGTATATTTACCAGCACAGGTGTTTAGTGAGTATCGCAGCTGGGATGCTAGTTTTCTTAGCATCAAGCCACTTACCTGAAATTTCATTACCTACAATTAACTTCATTTAAAATATGAATAATTTGTTTGACATATTTAATTCATCTAAATGACCTGCCTTAAAAAAATTTAATAGATCTTTTAAAAATACTGATACCCAAATTTTCCATTTAAAATTGATGGAAAACATTTTTAAAACATTACAAGTATTTAAAAAAAAAACAGATGTTAAAGTGATAAACCAAATGAAATTTATTAGAGGTTGGTTAATTTCAATCTCTGGTTTATTTCAATTGTGAGAGTCACTAAAAGTTACTTATACAGATAAGAGTTATGTTTTGTATGCAAATCGAATCAACCAAGATAGGCTGGAAAATGTATTTGGCATGTTTCGCACCCAACATAATGAAAATAATTTTAATCCAATTCTCATACAATTCATCTAGTCATTTAAACAAAATTGTTGTCTTAATTATATTATTCACTCGGACAAAGCAAATTGTATAGTAGACTTTGATGAAATTTTATCTAAAATAAATACTAATACTTTTAATGACGAAACCATAAAAATAATATTTCAAGAGAAAAATCCATTTAAATTTAAAAAAATACACTTACAATAGATACCCCAGATTATAGAAATTTATCGATGCCAGAGAAAAATGCTTTTTCGTACGTTTGTGGGTTTTTAATGAAAAAATGTATTCAAAAACATAGTTGTGAAGTTTGTATTTATTATGCAAAATCATAAAAAAAATTGGATGAGTCTTTTATACTTTGTTATTTCAAAGCATATGAATATTCAGAGAAATCAATGTTTGGAAATTGAATGATGCCACAACATGAATTTTATAATTATATAAATGAATTAGAAAATATTTTTATAAATAGGTTTCTACAATTATCTATTGAAAATGAAGTAGGATGAAGTTAAAGCTAAGCATGATTAATGTGGTATTTCGACATCCGTGTTCACTGTTAAATAAAGATTATTTAATTAATTATTTTATAAGGTTTAGGATTCATGCTGCTATTAAATTTTTAAATAGTAATTTAATATCAGAAAAAAAAAAAAATAAAAAAATTATATATTTTAAATAATTTATAAATTAATTAGAAAGATAATCATGTTTATAATTTATAATATGTATTTATTTTTAATTGTTTATATTAAAAATATTAAATTATTTGTAATTTACCTATATTGTAACATGTTTTAATTGTCAATATATTGTTTTATATTGTTATAATTTTTTTTTTTTATCAACCCGAAGGTTGGTTTACAACTCCAATTTTCCATTCTAACCAATTACTCGACTTTTCTTTAAGTTCTTTTCTACTAATTACTATTCTATTTAAAAACGTAAAAACCAGTAATATGCGGCCAAAAAAAGAGCCGCGTTGCGTCAGCCGCATCGGTCGCGCTCTAAGGAATCGCACCTTTAGTCTTTACATCTAATGCACATCGTACTTTATAAGTTATTTTATCTACCCTTGTCCAATTCCAAATAATAACTTATTGGGCGTTTATTCCGTCGTTTTATGTACAGTATTACAAACTCTATTTAGAATTATACCTTGTTCCACTTATCGGAATGTTCCACGATTTTCGCTATCGTCGGTGTTATCGAACGATTTACTACTTCCACCTTCCCGTTTACCCTGGTTGTACCGGTCGCAATTAATATTTGTTCGACAGACTAGCAGGACAGAAATGTTTTGAAATCGTTCGAAGTAAACGCAGTTAGTGCTACGATTAGAAATGAGACGTTTCGGTTTAGAATAAGTATAAAAATATTCCCTCATATATTTAATTACTTCTTCCGTCTTCAACATCAAATAGCAGTAATAAAATTTACCTCTCGGATTTACTAAGACTTTTATAAATGGTGAAGAACGGCCTCAGTGTGTAATATGTTTAACTGTATTAGCATCTGATAGCATGAAACTTAATAATTTAAGGAGGTAGAATTTTTTTGCGTGGGAGACTAAATATCAGTAAAGAATTGAGAGTAGCTTTATCAAAATTTAATAACGAGCAGAGATATTTAATATCTCTACTCGTTTCACCAAACTTTTGTAATGAAAAAAAAATAAGCCCACCCGTCACATTAAAATTGACCGATAGATTAAAACCTTTTATAAAAAATAAATTTTATTTTAAAATAAATTTGACATGTGAATATTAATATTAGCCTATATTTTTTATTTGTTTATAATTTATTGTTACTCTAAATATGAATATTAAAATTATTTTTATGAGGGGGGCTCACGTCTGGAATTGACCAAAAGAGGGGGGACTGGCTTAATATTATAAATTATATTTATAATATTGACAACTTTGAATTGCCATACACGCGTAATCACTGCAACTTTGAACTTCCATAACTTTTGAATGGTAAGTTTACGGGATTTTTTTCAAACAGTTTTGAATTCAGCATAAAAAACCATGTATTTATAAAAAAAAAAAATTGAAAAAAAGGGTGTCCGGTAGAGTAGATTTATACCCATATTTTTGTTAATCGATGAAAAGTTTATATTTTACAGAGTTTTAATTTGTACTTGTAATTATTTTTATAAAATATCTGCTACTTTTTATTTGCAAATCGAGTTATTTACCTAAGTAATAAAAAGGTTTGTAACAATAAATATAAAAAATTTAAAAATAAATGAGGTGGAAATGGTAATTTGATAAAAATATAAGTAGATATTTTGTTGCGAGCGAAGCGAGCGGTTTTTTTTTTTACTCATTTATAGGCCGGTCAAAACGTTTGCCCCCCTCTACCGAAAACTAAAATGACGCCACTGGTGTATTAATATAAGAAAAACATAAATATTAATAATATTTATAAATTATAATCAATGATATTCTTAATTAGTATAAGGTAAAATACTAAAAATTACAAATTTTATACATATATAATTAAGATATAGATACTTACATAAAAATATGATTAATTATTAATGTAGGAACCTTACAAGTAGTGAATTATTAAACAGGAAAAATAAATTTACTTATAACTTATAAACTTTCATACACAGGAAATATTATATATTTGTACAATATGATAATTTAGATTTAATATAAATTAATTTTTTTATTTTATTGTTTTTTCTTTTCAAGCTGGACTTTTGCTTGTGCCAAATATAATTTTATTGGATCAATGATTTGTTATTAAGAAACATTTTGAAAAATAATGATTTGTTTAACAGTATCTATAAAGAATAAAAATGATGTACATTGGTTAGACAAATTATAGAATATTTTTAGTTTAATGATGAACAAGATTTACAAATGTATATATATACCCAGCTACTATATTAGATAGGTTACAATTTATTAAAAATTATACTTCATACTGAGATTCATTGGTGAAGTTAAATATTAATTAGTTTTAAATTTATAATAAAATAATAATATATATACTAAAATATTTACCAAAAATAACATTATTGAATTTTAATATTAATAATGTTTTTATTTTTCCCCTATTTATGAAAATAACATCAGTATGTTATCATCAAATATTTTATACATTTGTACAGTTGCTCCTATGCTATCGGTCATATAAACTTTTGTTCAATATCAATAGTATCTAGAAACAAAAATGATTAAATATTAATTTTTTTTATTTTTACTCATCTTAACAATAAATATATTGCATCAGTAGTGAAGTCAGGATTTCTAAAAGGTTCAAAATTGTTAGGTAACAAAATGTTTAAGAATTGTTAACATTAATTTCTAATATATGAGGGGATTGAATAAAAAAAAAATTTGGTATCAGAATTTATGCTTTCTGTAAATTCAATATCAGTTGATGTAGAGAAATTGCATTTTAGACATAACAATCTTCATTAAACAATTCATCTCATACAATCTCTTCTTGTAATATCTTTCGTTTAGTTCTACTACTTTTAATCATTTTTTTGTTTGTGTATAAAATCAAATATTTATAAAAATGTAAATAAATTTTATTGTATAGTTATTGCTGTACATTGATAATAAAAATAATTAAATACATTTCTAAAATAAAATTGTATCATAATATAGGTAATAATACGTATAATTCATAGTACCTAGTTGTAATTTACTTAATATAATTCATTATAACATACTTATAGCTTGAGTGAAAGTTAAAAATATAACTACTACCTTAAATAATAATAACTTGTATTAATTTGTTTTTAACTAAATTAAAATTTGACTATTAGTATGTGACTAAAAATACTGATTGAAATTTAACAGGGAGATTATTATAATGCTAATAACCAACAGCGGCGAATTTAAGGAGGGAGGGGCGAAAGAAGCAAACGCCCTAAGCGGCAAATTTTTGGGAGTGGCAAAATATACTAACTTTTATCATTGATGTGTTCGTGATTTTTTCATTTTCACACTTTTTTCGGTATTGTTAAGTATTTTAAAAAATATTGTTGAGCATTTAATAAGAAAATAAAAAATTATATTACACCTAGTCACCCTAGGTAATACTGAAATAGCAAAATAGGTACATTACATTTATTATTTGATAAGATATAATATTTTCATTCAATGTTTATAATAAAGGTTCGGATATACAGAACGCGATATTCCCTTTAGGGCACATTTACAAAAGGAAAGGAATTATACCTAAAAGTGTTCAATGTATGTTGGTATTTGTAAAACAGAATATTTTAGTTGAAGCATATTTTTATATTGATATTGCTTTAAGCAGTAGCGGATTCAGGGGAGGGGCATAAGGGCACGTGCCCACCCAGTAAATTTTCTATCGATAATTTTTTTTTACGTTACTACGAGTAGGTACCGTTTAAATGAAAAATACAATATATAAGAATAATACTACCTACTAGTATAATAATTATTTAAATTTAAACTGGATCAATATGTTTGCTAAAAAAACGAAGACTTCGACTTCAATTCGACCTATAAGGCTATAAAGTATGAGAATTTATAAAGATATTTTTATTTATTAATGACTAAGTATATGAATAATAACTTGCCTATAGGTATAAATTATTACTTTGGTGTGTGATGTTATGTTATCAAACTATATTAAATATATTACCAATTTTGTTTAAAAATAAAAGTATGTATTATTAATTATGATTAAAGAATCATTATACAATTTATATATGCCTCCCTATCAAAATAATCAAGATCCGTCCCTGGCTCTAAGGATGCTACTATGTACACCTTCAAGTAATTTTTCAACAGAAAAATCATATTCTGCATTAAAAAGGGTCAAAACTTATTTAAGATCAACAAAGGAAGGACATCTTCTTAATTTATTAGCAATCCTCAACATTGAAGCTGATTTAATAAAAAATTATTAATTTTAATGATATTATTGAAACTTTTGCTATTGATTATTTTATTATATATAGTTAATAATAAATATAATATATTTAATATAATAAAAAACCATGTATTGTTAATCATTATGTATATAATAAGTGTTGATTCCGTTTTCTATATTTAATATATATGTATATTTTTTTAAGAAAGGAATATTCACTTTGAATAAAAATAGATAATCTAAAATTATTTTAGATTATGTTATGGTTAGGATATGTATTACTTTAAAATTATCTAATAGAATATTGCATAACAACAGATTTATAATTTTTTTCATAAAATTAATTTTTTTATTGCTTGACTTTGAATTTATTTATATTTTTTGTAAGAAGCAAGGGCGGAAAAATTATTTTGCCCCGGGGCGCATATATATTAAATATGCCACTGATAACCAGGACTATTTTTTATTTATTATTTTACAATTTTTATTTATTAGAATTTGTATGCAATAAAAAAATGTAAAATATGCATTTTATTTACCAGAATATGCAAAAATATGCATTTAAATTTTTATAAGATAAACACAAAAATATAGTTACAAAAAAATCTGGTTAAACTATCATAGAAGAAATGTAAATTATTTATTAAACGACCTTATGGGAGCATTCTTAAGTATCAAATTGTAAATGATGTTAAGTGCGTTATATTTTATTTAATGCATTTTTTAAACTATCATCTATTCTCTTTCTCTAATATCGATGTAAAAATTACAAAAAAGTTATTCTTTTATTAATATTGTTGTGCAATATTACACACTAAAGTTATGATGTCAATTATTTCCAGTGTTGAGCAAAGATTACTAAAAATTTATCTAGATGAAGATAAATGTTAGTTCAAATTTAAATTATTTAGATAAAGATAAAAGATAAAAGTCTATTTATCTATTTAAAAAAAGATAAATTTTTATTTTATTTTATTAATTACTTTACACTTTTTTTTTTTATATAAAATTGTACTTAAAAACTAAATTAAATTAAAATTAAATTATCTTTGATCTAATAGGTATAATATAAATAATTAACAACAAATATTTATAGTATGTACATTTATGTACAAAAAATAAGTAATAAATAATAAGTACTTCATTAAAAAAAAAAAAATACATTTTTTGTTGGTACGTTTATTATAATTTTATAAAACAATTCATAGCAATTTATATAATACTTATTATGGAGTAATATTTATGGTTAAAATATTAAAAAGTTAATTTAACCATTATCTGTAATATTTAATTATATTTTTTAAGAATCAAATACTTATTGTAAGAGTCACTAAAAATTATAAATTAAATAGTCTTTATTAAATATGTAAACAGTTCATAAAAAAATTCTTATAGGCACAATTGAAATAATATAACCAAACATACATTGCAGTAACATAACTTTTAAAATAATAGTAGTTAATTATTAATTTAATAAATAAATTATACTAATAAAGTTTTTATTAATTTTAAATTTTTATTAGTTTTTAACTTTCGAGTTCAATTTTTTGAATTTTTTGAACAAATATTATTCGTATTCATTTATCTAGATGAATAACTAATAAATACATAATAAAATATGGATAATTCAAGAATTCATCTAAGATAATTCATCAGATAACTAATTTTGTTTATTATCTATCTAAGATAAAAGTTAATTAATTATTTATCTAGATAATGCTCAACACTGGTTATTTCATAACAAATGTAGAATTTGGATGAAATGCACCTACTTGATTTTTCATGAACAGAGGTGTTCTTAGAATCAACAAAAACAGTTTCATTGTCACATATTAATTGTTCCTCAGGTATAAATGTAGTAAACTCTCCATTAAAATTATCAATCAGCACTACAGTAAAATAACAACATTAAATTAGTGTCATGAAATAAACTATTTTGCCTGAATAAGTATACCACTATTTATGGATTGCAAATTGTAATCCAAAATTGTATCAGGTTCTGTTTTTATATTAACATTTTCAACTGTGGGAATACTTTCCTTGAAATTTAATTTTTGACGTGCTTCATAACTTTAAATTAGATGAAAATACATTTTTTTACCAAATCGCATTTCGTGAAGAACCAGTTAGTCTAATATGAAAAAAAAATAGCTATTCCCCATATTAAAACCATTTTTGATTTTAAATAAAAATTATTGCGAAATAAGCTTGAATCACTTGATCTTACTTGATTCACCATGTACAGAACTTTCGGTTTTAATAAAATCTGGTCTACCGTTCAAATTAAATTTCAATAATGGTTTAAATATTTTAAGAATTAATTGATTTATTACCATTATTGAGGTATGCTAACCGCCATTTTTTTTTTGGAACCATGTTTTGGTTGGAATTACTTGTGATCGGCTGATTATTGATTTCAACTATTTCCTGTAAATTAAACAAATCATTATTACACATTCTTATATGTTTATTATTATGATCATTTTTATACAAATTTTTTACAATTTTTTTTTTTGGTCGTCCTCGTTTACGCTTGATTTTTGGAAATTGTTTCGTCGAAGTCGGAAGATGTTCAAATTCTGTAACTGAAAAAATTGACAATGTGAAATTTAACACGATTGAAAATACTGTTAATTTTAGTATCCATACCAATGTCGTCGATTTCATTTTCGTCAGCCAAACAGTTGCAATTCTTATGATATGGTCTTTTCCAAATAGGACAAAATACTCTACGAACCCGATTAGATTTCTTGACTACACCAACTCCACTAACTTTGTCCATTAGTATTGAATTGATAATAAATATAATCTAATGTACAATATTAACTAATTAGGAACCATCATAAGAAATATATGTATATATATGTATATATATAATATATTTTTTAGGTACTTATAAATCGAAATAACGTATATATGATATATAGTCGAGTCGCGATAACTTGAAAAACTTGACAACTCGAATTGTGTTTTATTCTCCAAGATAGCAAAAATGTAACAATAATAATACTAAACTATAATTAATACATTACTTTTTAAATATCATAATAATAATATAGCAATATTATTTTCACATTACATTTTTTATATTATTGCAGCACCGAAAAAATAATAATATTACCTATATTATTATATCTAAATTACGAAAATCTTATTATTAATAAAACCATAAAATAACGTTTTATTTTAAATATACATATAATATTATTTTCTAAGTAAGAATATAATCATACAATATTATTACTAGTTCATTATGTATATAATGTATACATAATAGTCAGTAAATAATATATTTTTATACTTATATAGATTTATTATTTAGTCAAATTATTACAATTAGTAAATACAGTAGATTCTCGTTATGTCGAATCTCAAGAAAAAGTTCGAAATATCGAAAACTTCGGGATATCGAGTTTTATTAAAATTTTCTAGATTTTCTAGTTTAATGATATATTTTTATCTCGATACAGAGAAAACCATTTTAGCAAACATTTATCAATATCCAAATAAAGACTCATCCTCATTTTTTGTATATTTCCACAATTGAACTTCATTAGTTTCTCTTTCTGTTTAATAATTGATGATAATGTATTTGGTAGAATATTGAATTCATAGGCGATTTTACATTTTTTACGGTCACCTTTTTTAACTAACTGTATTCAACGAACTTTGTCCGAAAGTGAAAGAACATTTAATTTATGCTTATTTTCTATTTTACTACAAACGAACAAACGACTATGAAAGACTACTAACGTGACTACCAAAGCGCTAAATCACAATGGCTATATTGCAAAATGTACGCAATGTACTGCACTAATGTATTGCACAGTTCCTGTTTTAACCGTGATAAAAATATTATTTATGAACTCGAGATAAAGAAAAACGATTAATTTTATATCGTTATCGAGTTATCGAGAGCAAAAGTAGTAATAGCAGTTTGCACACGGTGCACGCGTGTATTAAAATTTAATACATTGTTATTACGATTTATGGTAAATTAATTGTATTTAACGTAAATTTTTTAAAATGTAAAGTCCTTATAAAGTCATTTTTGGTATTTTTGTGGTCATTATTAGATGTTTATAAATCATTTGAAAATTTTTTTTGTATGAATTTTTTAAAGAAGGAAGCCTTACTTTTTGTTCTAATGTAAACGAAAAGTCATTATTGTATAGCTTGTAGGTGGTTTGCTTTTTAACAATTGCCACAATTTAAAATACTTACCTAATGCACAAACAATTTTATTGGCTGAATTAAACTAGATAAAACTAATTATTATTTAATTGAAGCTAATTCAATTTTATAATTAACAAAAAATATACGAATTATGAATTATGTACCTACCTGGCTACCTAATTGTAACTAGTAGGCATTTATTATATATAATAATTCTTGTTATTTATATAGAGTATGCTTTGTCATGTTATTTATTGTTTTTAATATATTTATTATTAATTGAATTTTCTTGTAAGTACCTATAGATACTTTAGAAGTAAAATTTAAAAAATATTGTTAATTTATAGAATTATCTAATTATCTGCCTGCACACATAATTTATGTTTATTATTCTGTATTCATAGATTGTCTTTTATAATGGATAAAAATATTAGTGAGCGGACTAAAAGGAGAAGGGTTCAGGAAAAGTGTAAGATTTACTGTAGTGAAACTTTCACTAATACTAGTTCTGAATTTAATAGTAAAAATGCAAATAGTGGTTTATTAAATAAATCAACTCAAGATAAAATTGAAGAAGTTTCTCATATTTCAAAAAATATAGATGTATCCAATTTTGTTCAGTTTTGCTATTAATATACTTCATTAAATTGAATAGTTCTTCTATCAGTCAATTACTTCAAGAAACAGTTTATAATAATTATGAACCCACTAATGTTTCACTAATGAAGTATATTGATAGCAAAACTGAACATCATAATGATGGTGATATATTTTCTATTCGATGTATGATTGCTAAGTGGGCTATTAATTTCAATATTCCGCATAATGCTATTAATTATCTTTTATCTAGCTTAAGAGAACATACTTGTTTTTCAGAATTATCTTAAGATTCTAGAATCATTTTGAATACTAACAATGAGCTTAATTATATGAGTAATATAAGATCGGTAAATCCTGGTCGATATTATCATTTTGGCCTAAAGAATGGAATTATCTATAATTTTAAATCTTCAATATTTTCAGATAATCCTTCAGAAAATATAATTAAAATTGCTCTTGGTATTGATGGACTGCCAATTTCAAAGAGTACATCTCATCAGTTCTGACCAATATTAGGCTATATAGTCCCAAACAATAATTCAGTTTTTCCTATTGATATATATCTTGGGACAGAAAAAATACCAGACAGTAATGATTTTATTTTTGACTTTATTTCTGAAGCAAAATAATAAATTTTGAATGGTATTACAATTAATAACAAATTATATAGCGTAACTATTCATTTTATCTGTTGTGACTCACTGGCTAAGTCATTTGTCTTAAAGGTCAAAGGGCATTGTGGATTTTTCTCTTGTACCCATTGTCAAATAGAGGGAGAGTATATACATAATAGAACTTGTTTTCCATCTAGTCAATCAGTAATTCAACCAGCTGTAAGAACTCATGATGGTTATATTCAGAAAGTTCAAGAAGACTATTACTCTGATTCAATTAGTATTTCTTGTGTTGTAGATTTGCCTGGATTTAATGTAGTATCTAATTTTTCATTAGACTCTATGCATATGATCTCTCTTGGTATAGTGAAAAAACTAATTAAATTATGGATGAAAGGACCTATAAGTGTTAGATAACCATCACATAAAATACATAATTTATCACATTCTATTAAAGACTTGACAAGTTCATTTCCGTGTGAATTTTCCAGAAAACTTAGAGGATTAGAAGAAATTGCTCGCTGGAAGGCTACAGAACTGCGGACATTTCTTTTGTATGTTGGTCCATTAGTTTTAAAAAATAATGTATCAAATGAATGTTTCAAACATTTTATGTCTCTAAAAATTGCAATGATTATACTTCTAAGTCTTCATTTTTCTTCTTACTTACAATATGCTCAAGACTTATTAAAATACTTTGTTGAAATGTTTGAAAAAATGTATGGTAGTTACTTAATTTCGCATAATATTCATGGATTTCTTCATATAGCAGACAATTATAAAATATATGGACCTTTGGACCAATGTAGTGCATATCCGTTTGAAAACTACATGAAAAAATTAAAATCTATTCTCAGAAAGCCAGATAAACTTCTTGAACAAGTGATTCACAGATATCATGAAAGTTCAGAAATAATTGATTCAGATTTTCATAATATAATTGATGAAAATGCATATAAATTATTAGGACCACATAATAAAGGCCCATTAATTGATGGAACTATAAGTAATCCACAATATAAAACTACATCATTTGTTAAATTTATTCTTAAAACTAAAAATGATGCCGATTTGTATTTTTATACTAAACAAAAATGTGGTAAAACTAGTAATGTTGTGTTTCAATAGGAAAACATTTTGAATATTCAAAAAATGTTTATGATCAACCAATTTAATCTTCATATTTTGATATACTTCAAGTAAAAAAATTATCTGATAGATTGAATGCTTATTCTATATCAAATGTCAAAAATAAAATTATTTTGTTTTCATTTGAAAACAAATTAGTTGCAGTACCTTTACTGCATTAATATAATAAAATTACCATTTTCCTACATACATTAAATTTAATTAGATTTTTTATACAATTAAAATATTAATGTATAAGATAATAATGATGTAAAAAATGTATATACCTAATTATAATATATTATCAAATTATCTAGATTTAAAATTATAAATTAATTTCTCAATATGTTTTTTGACCACAAAGTCGAAAAGCTTTTTTTAATTATGAAAATCAAAACTTGTTCAAAATTATATATTTTAAATTTTAAGGATGTGGAGTGTTATATTTTTCGAAAAAGATAATACAGTAGAGGCCGTTCCAATAAATTGGTACAAAAATGGGTTATGCACCTGGCTTAAAAAAGATGGAAGAACAAAAATAAACCATAGAATTCAGCCTAACAAGTTTGATTTTCACTTTTATTCTGCAAGACTTTTGAAAAAAGATATAGGTAAAGAATTAATTTAATTAGTTTTTTTTAATTGTAAAATGTTCACAAGCAATATTAACTGATTTTATGCGTATTATCTATTTATTAAAATATTTTTCATAAAGTAACTCTACAAGACACTAGATTAAAATTGAAAATTGCTGAAATTAAGTCTGACTTATCAACAGAAGGTGTTGATAAATACAAAAAAAAAAAATCACCTGTACCAGATCCTTATCACATTTTAATATAAATAACTGATAGTAAAAATATACTAAATTTAATAGCCCATTTTGTATTAATTAATAAGGTTATAATAAAAGTGATGATGGCGAAGATCAAGACGATATAGATTTATTTGATCCAACATATGCACTATCAGAAAGAAATTTTGAAGATATAACAAGTAAGAATTACAATTCTATAATTAAATTAATTTAGTTTTATCATTACTTTAAAATTAAAATATATATATATTTATATTTCACCTATCTTAATTATAATATTTTTATACATTTATTTTGGTTGATTCTCCTTGTATAAAATCATGGTTAATACTTCAGACGTGCTACAATATCATAGAAAAAAATTCTATAGTGAAGGTAATGTATCATGTACAAATAATAGATTAAAAAATACTTATAAATTATTACTATATTAACTATATTTTTGCTGTGTACTATCTTATATTATAATAATATATATTTATAATAAAATATACTTTTAATTTGTATGATATTGTTTGTATTAATAGATAAAGTGCATAATGAAAAATTGAAGAAATTCCATATGAATGCTTCAGTTAAAAGAAAACTCTTTGAAAATATTGACGTTGATAATGTTTCTAGTGAAGGTATATAATATTTTATTTCAAAAGAAATGTACTTATTGTTCTATTCTAAGAGTAATTATAATACTTTTAATATAATATTATTAAAATTATTTGTTAATATATTTTAGATGATACAATTCATACTTCAGCATCTCCTTTTAAAGTTACTCTGATGTCATCTATCAATTCTCCAAAAAAAAGTTTTAGTAAGTTATATTTTATAATAAATTGTGTCTATAATCGATAAAAGTTATTCAATTAAAAAATATTATTATAGATGATCTATTCTGAATAAAATCACCACTGTCAGAATCAACTATTTTGAAAAAAACTAAAAGTTATGAAAATCTCAACATGGATTACAATAAATGTATCTACAAATGTAAAAACATTCTAAGTATATTTAAACTTTTAAAAATATTAGGATATATTAAGTACTGTGTAATAATGTGGTTTATTAGAGTACATAAAAAACTATTTAAAATGTAATTAATTCATTTTTTTCATTGATTTATATTTGATTTTTGTTTTTATTATTAATATGTAATATTAAATTTGTATTTGGGTACAACATTATTTAGTTCTATTTTAAATAATAAATACATTTTACCTCTTACCTATAATATATATGATTTCAGGAATTTACTTATAATTTTTGTGTTCTAGAGATTGTAAATAAAACTTTAAGAGTGGTATTAAAAACAAAATATGATATAGAAACAATAGTTCAAAACCAAGACCAGTTGAACACGACAATCAAAAATTCAATTTTTCAAAAAGAAATAAATTTTCAAAATGTTAGTAACATCATCAGTGAACAAGAAAATTATTTTTATGTGCTCCCAATAACAAATGAAGATTCTCTTACTAAATTTGAAGAAAAATTTCCACCGATAAAACTTTTAAGTCAAATTTAGTATGTTTTACTAACAAAACAAATTATAATATATAAACAAATATACTTATCTCTCGATTTCAGAATTGAAAAGAAATGCTAAAAGAAATTTAACTTCAACTTTAAGTCAGTTATTAAGAACTGTATTTGATGATTCTTTATTGAAGGAGTATAGTTTTAAAGGGCAAAAGTCCAAAAAAATTTTTTCTACTCTCACCTCTTGTTTTGTTATTTTGGTAAGATTATTATTTAGTTAATTAATTAAGTATTATTTTAACTTGATAGTATCTGTATAATAAATGTGTATATAATATTATACCTAATTCTACAAAAGGTGTTATAATGGAGATATGACAATTTTAAATTAAAATTACATTTGAATGTGTCAGATCATTGTGTATATATATATATATATATATATAGGTACTAAGTAAATATTAATGGAATTCAATTAGAAATAAGTATAACTTTATTAATCCATTCAATTTAGTTTTCACCAAATTATCACATGACAAAAAGAAAATGATGTATATCTTTTACAAATAAAAAATTTCTATTTTTCTAAGCATCATTAATATTTTTATGGTTGATGTTATTTTTTGTCCTTTAAGCAAAAAAAAAAAATATATATATATATATATAAAATAATCTAACATACCTACATTATGATATCAATATACTTGTTTATATTTGAAAAAAGTTAAACAATTTAAATAATAAATATTCAACTTATATTAATAAATTCATTATATTATTATTTTTTAATAATTAATAATGTTTTTTTGTTTAAAAAAAAACTTTGCTAAAAGTAGATCATATTATTTAATATTATACTTGATAAAAACCTATAATCCAATAATTATACAACAAAACAAAATAAAATCCCATGATTTTACATTGATGTATATTATAAAATTTCATGAACATTTTATTTGTTTTTATTAATTGGAAAATTATTTATTCATTTTTTTTTAAAAACTGTAAGAAAAATGAAACTGTATGAAAGCGTTAATAATGCTGATATTCAATCACCATTAACTATTTATATTGCTGTGCATCTTCCCGTATTAAAAAAAAAAAAAAAAATTATTAAAATTTTATACAAATATTTACAGTTTCATGTTGTTCTAAAACTATATATACTAGATTATGCTTATTTATGTTATATTTAAATATATTTACATATAATATAATGCTTTGCATTTTTTTAAATTTTTTTTTTTTAATCTAATAAATAAAATAATATCTTACTATTTTATAAATTATATGCAGTTCTGAATAAAATTGAAATTTTAATGATATCCAAGAATAATTCTCCTTTTATTGAACTTGATTTTCAAATCAAATCAATTTATTTATATAAAGGTACTGGTAAAATATAAAAATTAAATAAGTAAGAGTAAAACTAAGAAGAAAAATAATCTTATAAACATTACATTATAATGTACTACTATCAATAAAAATATATTAATACGATAGATATCGGTAAATTATGTTTTTAAAATGTATTTTACTATTTCAAAAATATAAGAGTAATATTATTTTAGTTTCATTATATTAATGTAAATTTGTTGGCCAAATAATGTGACTATAATATTTCAAAAACATTATTTATACATTATTGTGCTGAGAAATTAATATTTATGTTTCATTAGTCATTACTAGAATAATGTTAAACAGATGTATTTAATATTTTTTTGCTATCTGGGGATCCCTTAGAAAATTCTTCCCCTATAAATTAGTTAGATATCTCGAAGTGAATTTTTATCCCCCTTCAACTTTGAGTTATCACGACTCGACTGTATATATTTACCAAATTCAAAAATAATAGTGTTGTTATGATACATTACATGAAATTAGAGTCTCTAGTTGTATATGATAAACAAATACACTATATTATACTCTATATGTGTGTACATATTAATACACTATACTCCAACATTTGACGTAAGCTTTAGAGTTGTTTTAATAAGAATAAAGAGAAGCAACGGTCCCAAGATGTCGATTTTGAAGTGATATTATGATAGAAATTTTCGGAAAAAAATGTAATGAAATAAAGTATTTAAAAAAGTATTAAACTGTGAAAATAGTTCAAAACTAGTAATAATAATGGATATATGTCTGTAATGACAACGCTTAATAGTTTAATCTTATATATATATATATATATATATATATATATATATACATATCTTACAATAGTTCTCTAAAAGGATCTATGCGGACCGCTTACGTCGCGAATCGTACTGGTGCAAAGACGAGCTCCTATTGTACTCACTTAATAAAATTCAAATTAAATATAAACAGTTTCTGATCACTGTGTGTATAATAAAATCTTAATAATTTATAACTTACCAACGCGTGAATAAACGATGATGTAGCTGACGTTGAATATGCGGGCAAGGAAAAATATATAAATGCAATTACAAATCGATTGGAAGAAAAAACGACAAAATATGAGAAATTCACGTCGAAAACACGTTCACTGTACGTACGACGTGATTGTCCGTAAATGAATGCGAGCCGCGGGTGGATGCGTCGAAAAACCTGGTATGCGCGATGCGAGAAAAATTGAAATAAAAAAAGGAAGAAAAAAAAATGTTCCGTGCGAGAAACGTGCACCAAACATTAGGTTGACGAATAAGAGAGCGACGCGACGGGGCTTAACTAGTGGTTGCTGCCAGAACAATCCCCTCCAATGTCGCCTGCACACCATGAAAGATAAATATGTCGCACACCTTCCCGCAACATCCCCCCGTGTCATAAAATTCCGATACCACCACCGGACCAATGTGACCTCAGTTCACTCAGCCGCTACCCTATAATAGTAATAATAACGATAAAAGAATTATAATAATAATGATTCCTGTTTCGGATCTACATTGCTGGCGCCTAATGGAAGTGATGCGCCGTAACACAAGCTAACATGATTTAATTTATTCTTACATCCCCTCGGACTGCGTGCATCGTACGTAACGCTGACCGGTGCATGGATACATCCACGGTGAAAATTTTATCCCAAACCAAATGTTATTCAAACGTCGCTTATTAAACTAATAATAATAATAATTGTACTGCCGAACATCACCAAATATTATCGATGGACGTTGTATTTGTTAAAGCTCACGAATTGTTCACATTAGTACAGATCAATTAATTTGATTTGATATACCAGGAATATGGTGCTATAACAATAAATGTACGTAATAATTTTGCTACGTTAACGCTTCTACAACGTATTCGTCGTATAAAAATATTTTTCGCTTAACACCTTTTGTGACGATTTTTCATTTTGGGATACTGATTTACATTTAGCATAATATTCACAGGTGGACATGGGGAGGCTTAGCCCCAAATATTTGAAAAACCTCCCAGTGGCGGCGCTAGGCGTGGGCGAAGTGGGCTATTGCCCACGGCCTCGCACCTCAAAGGGCCTCGCGTTCCAAAGGGATTTATAATCAACCATAGAAAAATATGGGAGAAGTATCTATACAAAAATGTTTGTATCCATGAAATTATTTTATTGTAAAAAAAAAAAAAAAATCATAAACATAATAATTATACATATATAGGTACTCGTCAATATAGAATAAATTTTAGTACCAATGTAGTTATTTTTGTTCCTATTATATATTGAAAATACACTAGTCAACAAGTGAATTGTGTATACTTTTGTTGCCGAATGTTATATTTCGTCATTAGTCATTACTATACATACCGGATTACACTATGCATTTTGGTGGTTGCCGATCGGCAAACGACCGCGACTTCTATAATTAATATATAAACCGCGTTTATATATAATATATAATCGGGACTAGACTGACCGATTCGGTGAACCGATTTTATCTAAACTCGATATCGTAATTTCATTTTGACAGTTGTTATTAGTTCAATTGGTTATTTTTATCAGGTTCATTTCGCCAGCCCCACCATAATGGAATTTTGAAATTTTTTTTTTCATTCGATTGTGCTACATTAGTACCGTTTGTTCTACTTGGTCCTGCGTTTGTGCTGACTTTCTAACCCTGGAAAATCAAATTTTATGTTTGGCGGGGCTGAAGAAATGTTAGCCCCGCCATATTGGAATTTCGAAAAAAAAAAGAAAAAAAATAGTTGATTCTTGATACACAAATCAAATTACTTGTTTAGTAAGAATCACTAAAAAATGTAGTTAGTGAAGCAAAAAGCCGAAATGTCCATTTCTTGTAAATAAAAAAAAAAATGAAACTTCCAACAGTATTATTAATTTAAAAAAATATGTATTTAATTTTAAAATTATGTATAAATAAAATTATATTAAGACTACATTTGCAAATAAAAGGTTAATAATTAGAGTATATTGTTTTAAAAAATTGTAAATCATAATATTTATTAAATAACTATTGTTACTTAAATGTTTACTAAAAAAATTTAAAAAAAGGGCCTCTTTAAGTCTACTTCGCCCACATATAAATTTTACCTCGCGCCGCCACTGAACCCCCCCCCCCCCAAAATCGAAACTATTAGAAATTATATTTGTTTTTATAATTATCTGTTTGTTTTTTTTTGAAAATCGTAAAATAAGAAATATAAAAAACTATTTACAATAGCATTAACAATACCAATTAGTCGGGCTACTTGCGAAAGAAGTGCAATGAGAAAAATTAAAATTTGGCTAAGGACATCGTTGGTTCAAGATAGGTTCAGCGATCTTTCAATAATATATATTGAAAAAGATATACCAAAAAAATATAAAAATGAATGGTATTTTGAATATCTTTGCTGATACAAACAGATATTTGTCATTAAAATAAAATATTAATTATTTTTAAATATACGTTATTTAGTGTTGTTTTAATACAATTTAACACGTTCACGGCCACGTGTCAACTATAGTTGACATTGGGTTTTCTTTAGATAAACCCGTGTCAAGTATAGTTGACATGGAGTCCATTAATTTGTATACATGATTATTTAACTCTGGTTCATTCTAATAAATATATTGACAACATGGTTTTTTTAAACACTTTTTTGTGTACCGATTGGTGTACTTGGTTTTAAAATCTGACAACTAGATAGCGATATTATATACACAGTAGTGTTTGTTGTACGCGTAATATTTTTCTTAGGTTATATGATTCTTGCATATGTTTACCGTTTGATTTTTGATAACTTGCCAAGTCAATATAGATAATACATTTCTACGATAACAAACGATAATTTTATCAAAATAATATTTATTAATAATAATAATATTAAAATGACCATCGCTCATCCACATATAGTTCATGAAACCTGGTCTGTTTTCCACTTGAAGCTCCGTTAACAATGTATTTGATCCACCTAAAATATTTCGCCTGGCAACCCAATTTCGCACTCATATTTTTCTTTTCTTTTTGCGACTAGAAATAATTTGGTTTGCACACTCTTGAGCTAAAACTCCGCAGACTGATAACACTACGTCTGCCAATTCTGGTTCCATTTTGGCTACTGATAAATTTACTTGGACAGACAAAATGTAGTGTAAACACTGTCGTCAGTGCTCGAATCAAAGTTACACTGATTCGTGGTTCACGGACGTGACTACTTTGATAAGTGTAAACCGGCCTTTATTCTATTCAGTGGTATAAGCCTTATCATCAAATCAATGGCAATCGAACCAGTATGAAAATTAAAATAGATTGAACATCGCAGTATTATTATGTAAAAATCATATGTGTTATATAATTAATACATTAATTTATATTGTATATACTTAATTAACTATACACAATCTGTTTTATTACTCATAGTGCTTATTTTTCATAAAGACGTTTAAAAATTATATTTATAATTATATTTCAAATAATTTAGTGGCACCCTAAATTTAAGTTTGCGGTACCCTAGAGATCCGCGGCACTCTGGTTGAAAACCTGTGGTATAAGGTTATTAACTATTTTCAAATATTATATTACTGTAAACGTTGAGCAACAATGCAACGCCAATGTCTATTATTATTTATATTATAATAAAAAGAGTAATAAAATAATATTATTTTTTCTTTAAATGTGGATGTGTCTATTTATAGTGTCTATGTCTATTTATAATGTGACTTACCATTTTGTAAAAATTAATTTATTTTATCAGTGTTCATTATAAGAATTAATAAAATAACAACTTACAAAATAATTAATAAATAACAACAGAAACGAACTATTTTGTCACGAGTAAATGGATAATAATAATATCAACCTCGAAATTTAGTTCGATATTATATTATATATCAAAATAAATTTCGAATTTTGATAAAATTATAACTGCATTTTGGTGGGAAGGTATTATCAATTAATATTTTATTCGTGGAGAATAAATATTAGCCTAATCTATTAGCATAAGGTTAGGCTACTCTAGTTTTGAAATATTTCATAATCACAGTGCCAAAAATAATTATGTGCTGCCATCTAGTGAATATTTTTTTGTGGGATAAGCCATAATGCATTTCAAATATATCAATCTGAAACGTATTATCACATAAAACAGATTTTGGTTTTTTGTAAGTTAGGCTGTTCTGGTTTTATGCGCCTCAATTATTATTCGAACTTGTGTTATTTTTAAAATTTTGATTATTAAAATTATTTCTGAAATTTGGCCTTGATGCATTATTATTATTATTATTAAATTTCCTAAACAATGTCTAACCGTATAGAAAGGAATAAGAATAACTATAATTTTATTTTAAAACTAAAACAAAATTTAAAATAAAAAACATCAAATAATGGCATAATCATATAAAATATATATTATAATTAGTAATAACGTAAATAACACATATTTAAGAGAATAGAATAAACGATGAAGTTAATATCGCTGATAACGTTAAATGCTGCATTCATTCTAACTATGCTCCAAGGTTTATAGATAATAATTATAATAAATAAATCATTATTATAAATATATTATATAAATTAAAATAAATAAATATTATCTATAAATCTCGATTACGCTCAATGCAACCAACACGCATTAGCAGAATCCATCCTCTGGTCACATTTGTTACATTTGTAAACATTGTGTTATCAATTAATATAGATAAAAAAAATTTGAATGGTAGTATATTAATTCACATGGTTATATGGTAATAATAACAACTATATTTGTAAAGTATACCATCGATAATAAATGATTAAATTGTGTGTTAATGACTTTCAAAATGGAAAATTTTTTACAGGTAGATACGAACATTTTCTACGATACAAACAATAACGAACGTTTTGCGATAATTATTCGAACTTTCACACATTTTAACCTAGCAACATTGTGTTAATGTCGTAATATAACACGATCCATCGATAGTTGAGTGCTTACACCTTTGCAATTACCTTGTTCTGTGAACCATACAAAATATCGTTCGCTTACGAGTCGTATAGTCATCTTAACGCCATCAGTATCGTTGAATACAAAAGGTCCAATGGAAACGTTGTATTTACTAACGAAATCCATTTGTTGTAGTCTATCTGTGTGCTGTCTACGTGCTTGCGTCATTCCGTCGTTATTTCGGATGTTGATAGATTCTCGTAGTCATATACCAACACTGACAATCGTATCTTGCTACATGTACAACGAAGGTTGTCCGTCACCATCGTCGTGTATATTTCATTACCAGTGATGTATCCCAGAAGAGTAGAAGATTTCAAAAAGTGGTAAAATTAAATTTATATTTTTCTTACACTTCATGTTTTCATACAAAATTGTTCTGTTATCAGTATTCTTTGAATAACTGAAAAATTGAGTGTTTGGAAAAATTTATAAAGATCCATGTTATTAAAATCATAAATTAATAGCCAATTGGTTTGCTGGTCGAAATGCTTGAGAATATTATGCATAAAATTTGTATAGTATACACCATTGAGGTTCAACTGTTTCCATGTTATGATAATAGTATAATATATTGTCATCTAGAATATATTGAATTACATTTGTAAACAATAATACTTGTAACTATCTATTCATATTTTCGTTTTTATCACATCTATTATGAATTATTCTTCACTTTTATTTGTAGTGAAAACTCTAATTAAAATAATTTTAATAACATATCCTTTATTGTAAATATTAATTGATTTTAGTTAGATTATTATGTGTATAATCCATACATAATTAATTCATTCTATATACCGAAATAATACTTAAACTATGTTTCAATAATGAACCTATTATTTGTCTTAATTGTAAAAATGCATACTAAAAACATTGCTAAATATCTTAGTTTTATTGATTTAAAAGCTGATGAAGGATGGTTTGAAAAGTTTAACAATTCAATATAACTTGCAATCAAATAAGCAGTAAGTAGAGAAAAGTGAAATTACAACTTAAACGTCAATAAAATCTAGCTATATAATATATTAAGGGCCAGTATTGCAATCATCAGTTACACTCCGATCACTGTTTAACGGTCTGTAAGATGAAATAATCAGTATTATAAACACCGGTCATTCTTTTTTTGACCGTCTGTTACTGGTTTAGAGAATGCTAAAGATTATATTATGCTACTGAAATATGAAGAAAAAAGTATAGTAGAAAAACATTGCATTGGGTTTTCTTATTATTAATATTATGAGCTACAAAAATTTAGCACTTGATTTATTAAAAAAAGAAATAGAACCTATAAAATATTTTTTGCCTTATAAAACATCCCAAGATCACATAGAAATCATATTTTCATGTATTAGATCAGCTGGAGGATGAAACAGTAACCCTGCTCTACAATTTAGATGGACTATTCGTAAATTGTTATTTAAAAATTCCTTATCATCTAGTAAAAATGCCAATTGCCAAAATTTGGAGGAGGATAAAGTAATAACAAATGGTATATTTACTCTTTCACATGAAAAAAGTGTGTTAATAAAGAAATGATAATTGGTAAAGAGATTTCTTCATTTTTATATTAAGATGATAATATATTTAGTCATTTTCAAAAAACATTTTATACTATATAGCAAGAAATGCAGCTAGTAAATTTCTTCAACAATTTCCATGTGCATTCTGTGATGCTATTATTTTGAACCGATATATTTTTCATAATTATTAATTAATAACATAATTATTCATTCTTGTCAATAACTGATAATATCTGTTTTACAAATTTTAAATTGCATGATAAACTTAAATTTGTTTCAAAATTTGTTTTTGATATTATACACTATATTGAAAAATGTTACCAAGAATATTCTACCAATTTGAAAGATAATAACTTTAAAAAAGATATAATCCTAAAAGTCAAACGTCAGTTTGTGCCTCAAAATTTTTAAAGCTTGAACATCCAATTGTAAATATATGTACCTTAGAATCATATGAAATGGAAATTTTGAAATTTATATTTGCTTATTATTGTATCTTAAGAGTTCATACTCAGTGTAAACAGTTTAATGAACAATACCATAGACCAGTCTTCTCTTAGACATAAATTAATAAAACTTATTTTATTTAACCATGTTTAAACTAAAATCTTCAAATCTTTATACTATTCTTGCTTGCTGTTATTACTCTTATCATGTATACAATTAATATGTACTATATAATTTTTAATAAAAGTTCTATTTAACCTGCATGTTAATGTTTTTAATGTTCTTTATCTAAATTTATAATTGTATTTTTCATTCAGGAAACATATCAAGACAAATATTTAGCTGAAGGAAACAAGTACACAGTGTAGTATTAGGCAATTCAAATTCAGGGCATATTAATGTCACAATAGAAAATGAGCTAGCCTAAACATTTTTTTTTATTTTCTTCTATTAGCACGTAAGCATATTATTATTATTATTATTATTACTGGTACCTAAATGTATGTAAGAAAGAGAATGAACTAATAAAGAGGTTTTTTCGTGGTAGTTGTGTAACACGACAACTATGGAAACATACGTTATTTTAATTGTTATTTTTATAAAAACTAAATTTTTTTGTGTCTATACATATGATTTTAATCGATGTTTACGATAACAGATTGTCATAGTAATACAATTAATCTGTAATAAATAATAATTTATTTTCTGGTATTTAATAATAATTTGTGGCTTAGAAAATTATTCATTCCAATTACTGAAACTACATTCATTAGTATTTTGTAGACTTGTTCAAGCCTTAAATCTCAAAACAAATGAATTAATAACTAGCATCATTTACAGAGACATTTAGCAGCTTATCTACGGATTCAAATGTCTTATTAAATAATAATTTAAATAATTTTAGGTGGAATGAAATATATATTATCATATAGTTCAATCGATACAACATACATGTGACTGTTATCAAGTCACTGTTACGTAGTCCCGAGCACGGTCTTAAAAGATAAGGTCCTCCAACTCTACAAAATAAGTGTCCCACTTACGATGTCAAATACGTTTCCGCTGCTGATCACTTTACATAAAGCACTGCTGGTTAGACGTTTTTGAGGTTATGTAATAATTTGTATTATAATTTTGTTTTTATAAATAAACATTCAACCTGAACATCTATGATCTATGTAATATGGTACTCTTGATTGATTGGTCTTGATTGTTTTTATAGAAAATTAGAAATCAAATATAGCTTTTACCACGGTTGAGGCTTACAAGACTAACTCAAGAAACAATATGGTTTAGACTATAACAAAACATGTCCTTAGAAGACTGAACTACTGCAAGTATATTTTCTATATAATACTAGACTGAAAAAATAGCGTTCAACCTATATTTCTTTGAAGTAGTACATATATAATAAATTCATACTTCAAATTATTAATATAATATAGCAATGTAATTAAATTACTTTTTAAAAATATAGTATTTAAAATGCCTGTAGGTACAAATTAAATTAAAAATTAAGTTTTGCAAAACTTTGCTATTTTTTTTTTTAATACTGTTTTCCGACTTTTTACTTTTATTTTCTTGATAGGAAAATTGTCGCATCCGCATTCTAACATAATACATAAAAGCAAATGCAATTATGTTTTCACCATGTATGGAGCAAGGAAAAGTTAAAGATTTTTCATTCATTAAGTTTGTTACAATTTATTTAAAAACTTCAGTGGATAAACAATTATTTGAAAAACTTTCCTCAATTTTTTGGATGAAATTAAAGAAAACAGTGTTGGGATGAATCAATCGACCTTTGATTTTCATGTTTACTAAAGTTGCAGATAACTGTTGTGAATATACTTGTGGTACAACTAAAGCTGATTCACATGTAACACAATCTTTGGTATATTTTAGCAATTGTTTTGAAAAATAGCCTATGAAGAATTGTAATTTTTAATTAGTTAATAGTAATTTATAAATTAGTTTATTTTATGTACCAATTAAGTATTATATTAAACAATCTTTAACTTCAGCTTTTGAATAATCATGTTCAACTACATCACTAAATTCCCATTCTTTTTCTATTATTATTTTAGGTACTTGTCGGTTATCGCGACTACCTAGCGAGACGTATTGAATGGTGGTTATTATTAGCATTGGTGTGGGGATTTTTTATAGATAGCTAATATGACCTTTTACTTGACATTTTCCAACGCAGTTAGTGTTGGACCATTGTCGTGTGTCGTGTCATATTATTACAATGCAAATCTGGGATTTACTATCGAACGAAAAACGGTAGTCGCGATAATCGACAAGTACTTTATTTTATTTAATTTATTTTTTAAATTTTCTACTAAATGTGATTTTTCAGGATAGTAAATATCTTTCAAATCAGATATTGTTATGACTGGAGTTAATGGTGAATCATCATCTACAGTGCAATTTCCACTTTTTGGTGGTTTTAAAATGCTGTAGGATGATAGAATTTTGTAAAGTTGGAGAAATATAGGTGCTGATGGGTGATCATTAGATCCTGCAGCCTGATGAATTATTCCGAAAAACATCTAGGTAAAATACAGTTATTTTAAAAAGTAGTTTTAATTAATATATTTTGGTAGTATTGTATTATTATATAATATACTAACTTCAAGTTAGTCTTGATTTATTTTTCCAGTTGATAAATACTTAAAGTTCCAGCATGAATGTAAGTACTTACAGAGATCTAAAGTAGACTGAATGGTGACTTAAGCCACAAGCAGTTATGTCAGTTAAATATTCACATTTATTTATCATTCCATCTGTGTATTGTTTTTCCCAATCATCCAACCAAATTAAAAATGATTAAAGAAACTGTAAGTTAATTAAAAAACTCTAATTAGACTTTTAAAAATAACCAATATTTTAATATTATTAAATTAAGCTTAATGTATATATTTTATTTTATAGAACAACATACCAGATAATCATTATCATTTACTTAAAGTTCTTCAGCACCAAATTTACTATTAAGAGTATCAAAACAGTCATTAAATTTACGGCAGAACATAGCTGTAGTATCACAATCTTCTAAGTTAGGAATATTATAAGATTTATAGAATAATAAGCCGTTACAAACTGAATTACTCAAAACCTTCAAATTACAAAAACATTGGTACAAATAAATTGTTAAAAATATGTTAGGTTAGGTTAAGTTCTAATCTAAATATTCTTATTAAGTCATTTATAACTATTTTAATTGTTTCATGTTTAATATAGTATATAATTATATAGTTGATATAATAAATATGCTCAAATATATATAATAAATAAATAAATAGTTAACACATAATCATGTCATACACATACTATATATATAAAGAATTTATTTGTTTGAGTGTAATAAATCCAGTCCTCTGCAGATTCTTACAAAAAATAATTTATTTATTATGGTTGTTAAATGCTCTTGACTTTCAAGTGTGTTGAACGGTTTTTTTTAAATATTTATTGTTGAATGTTTTGTCCAAAATATTACAAAATTTATTTAAATTTTGATCAATAGTTATTGATTTATATTTAAATGTATTAATATTGTCTATTCTACAAATAAATGTAATATTGTTTTTTTTTCAGTTTATGTTTTTTATAATGTAGTAGTAAATATAGTAATGTTTTATGTAACTATTCAAATATATTTCAATGTTTAATTAATCTGTGATAATTTACTTGGTGAACTGTTAAGTTAAAATTAGATGCGTTTGTACTCTCATTGTTAATTAAAATATCATCAGTTATTGGATCATTACCAAAAAATGATTAATTGTGTTCTCATTGTATATAAGAATCTTGCTTACCACTATGAAGTAATTCAGTGTTATCATAATACAATTTCTATACATTTCATGTAGAATTATATAAAATAATTTTGTTATAATAATTATTGAATTAGTTATTTACTTTATAAAAATCTTTGCTAGAAAGAGTGTCTTAATTTATTAATAAATTGCCCGATGTAATTTTAAAACTTTCCATTAAAGTAATTTGTAAGATTAAGTACATTATTTTATTTTTTATTATATGATTATGTTACATTAACAGAATTTTCATTAAACTTCAACCGTTTCCGTGATGCATATAAATATGGTACAGCATTAGACTGCAAATGAGGCCTTAATAATTGAGTCTAAACATTATATCAATTATAATTATCGGAACATTTAAAATGTATACAAAACAAGAGTAAACTACTCATATTGCCATAAAAAAATGAATTATATAAATATTCAATAAAATAATTATGTTTCAAGATATTTTTATACCATTGCTTAAATTTAATGAATTGTATTTTTTTATTTAATAATACTTACCTACTATAGATTTAAGTATGTCTAATGTATATACTTACTGAATATAAACCATTCCCTAAATCATAAATTTAAAATTTTTTTTTTTAATTAGATCTGTAGTAAAATGTTCTTTGCATAATTTAAGTTAACATAATTTGAGTCAAAATGCTCAACACCCAATGCTTTTGACCAATCCTTCTTTCTAATTTCATCTTTTTGTATGCGAAACAGATAGTTTTTTAAACTTATTTTATCCAAAATAACAAATTTTATTTGGCATTGTAAAAAAGATGAAATTTAATATAGAGAAATTGGATTATAATAGACAGGAAAATAAGAAAAAACCAGATGAAAATAAGCAATCAGTATTGTTAATAAAGGTTTGTTTATTCCAAATATAGTACATTTTATATGTGTATTATGTTATTTTTCAAATTTTAGCAGTATTGTATTTAATATTTATTTCCTCACCTCGAAAACATCTAACCATCAGCGCTCTAAGGTGGTCATAATTGGCAATGTTTTCGTCACTGTAAGCGGACGCACTATACTAGGCCGGCGGGGGAGAAGTTTTCGGACCTTATCTTCTAAGACCGTGGTTTGTGGTAAAAACAGCGGAGAATGATTTTTTTCTTCCACAGAGACGCCAACGCACCAAACGGTTTTGATAATATTATCGCAACTCATCGTCCGTACATATTGTATGCACACTACCGGTCTACGATTGAGTTCATTTCTTTATCGCGCGTCGCCCATTGCAGTTTCCGTTCATCTCAAGTTCCTGCGCCTTACCTTTGTCGAGTGTTAATTTGCGATCAACGTACGTCGACCGACACCGTTGTGTTTTCCATTCCATCCGGAAAACAATTTGTTCCGAGCAAACCCAGCCGTTTGTCGAGTGGACCGATTGCACGGCTTGTTATTCGATTCTTCGCCATAACTTCCAACTAAGTAAGTAATGTTTATATGAGGTCAATTGCGGAAATAAATTGAATCCTCTACATGAGTGCATCCACGTGTTTTTCACGATAAAAAGAGACAGAAAGTTGTTTGGAAAATGTGAAAAATAAAGATGGTGTGGTAACTCGTGTTTTTCTCTTAACGTGTTAGTTGTGACATCGGTCATCAATACGAACCTTGTTGGATGGTTTAGTTATTTTCCGTACGAAATGCGCCTTTACAACAAAATTAAAATACTAAAGACATCTTGACGCGGTCCCGCTGCGGTGCAGGTACATTAAGTACACCACTATCGCGGAGCCGCGCCCGCTCTCTACCCAGTCAAAACCCGGGCAACGACAACACCGTTTCCGATACTACCCACCCACCTCGGAAAACCGGGCAGGAGTGGGAAAAGTTATCGGAAGTTACTGATTATTAGCAACTAATCATTATAGTCCGCGACTGGAAAAATGGTCTATTACCGTCACGAAAATTGCGGAATTTTCATCGAAGTGGTTTTTATTATGGTGAAAATAGTTTTTGCACTTTTATAATTAATGTTATTATAATTAGCTGAAGTTAGTTGTTTTTGTTTGAAAGTTTATGGCTAACGGGTGAGGTACATCACGTGGGTCATGGTGCTCATGAACCAGTTTTCGTGTAGCCCACTGTAAGTTTAATTTTGTGACAAGTTCGATATCATTGCAAAAATCTGTCGACATAGCTTTTATATTTGGTATAGAGCAGGAATAGCAAACCTATGGCATACGTTTTAATGATACAAGTAAAAAATTGTGAAAATTATACTATTTATAAAATTATGATTATAAGAAATTCAAAAAAATAAATTATATATATTTTAAGAATGACAATATTTCTTATGCATTCATATTTTTCGTCAACTTGTGTTTGTCTAAGTTAATTCGCCAACACAAATTTAATTAAAACGAAGGAAAGAAATGTTTTAACTGATGAAACAATTGATGCTTGTGTTTCACTAGGAATAACTATAATTTAATAAAAATAATGTAATAAATCTTTAATTTTATTTTTATTTGTAGAAAATATAATTTTTTTTGGATATGTAAACAATTTTCATAACCTTAATTGGAAAAATTTGGCATTTGAACCAAAAAAAGTACGCCACCCCTGGTATAGAGTATTTCACTCTTCAAGTCTTAAAAATGATATCCAACCTTTTAAATAGAAATATTTTAAAAGTGTCATTAAATTTAATTTTTTATCCATATAAATATTATATACAGCCAAAAATCCCATACAAATTAATTTTAAATTAAATTTAATCTGTTTTATAACCAATAGTTACACAAAACTACGTTTTAAATAATGCAAGGTAATAGTTCATTAATAACTATGCCCCAGCCAAGACTATTCTATGCGAAGCCGGTCATTCAGCTAGTTTAAAATAATAAAATACTTAGTTGAACTGTATAAATACTATCTGCATAACCCTCGCCCGGGAGATATTTTACTAATTTAGATAAGATCTTTAACAATTTCTAGATAAAAAAAAAATTCTGCTGAAAAAAGCATACAATCTTTGTCTATTCTAACAATGTAAGTTAATATTTTTCCCTTTTTCTGTCATTTTATTCAACCTTACTTATTAATAATGCTTATTAAGAAGCGTTTCCTCACCCTAATACTTATGCTGCCATATGAAAAAAAAACCCTGACTTGTGCTAACTCAATCAGCTATAAATCAATTTACTATACAAAATAAAATATTTCTTAGTCAACCATAATGTAAAATGATACATCTAGTTCGCAGTCAAAAATTCTTTCGACCCCTAAAAATGCAATTTTTGAAAAATTCTTATTAAACCCAAAATTTCAAGAAAATTGGATTTCATTAACATTTTTTATTTTCATTTTAGAATAATGAAACCCGCTGCTGTTGAAACTGAAATTGAAGGATCAGGATTTCGTAATGGAGCAATAAAAAAAGACTATACTGTGGAAAAAGTTTTGAACAAATGTACAATAAACGGTAAACTTTATTACTATTTAAAATGGAAAAATTTTT